TTTTTTTTTTTTAATATTTTCATGGCCGAAAAAAATGTATTTTTATTTTGGAGATAATCTGAATTTTATTTCAATTTTTTTTTTTTTAAATGTTATGTACGTAGTATAGTAATATGAGATTATTCAATTAGTGATTTATTAATTTCGTGTTGACTATTGCAAAATTTTGTATATTTTGACTTTGGTGGTCAAGGTGTTTTGTATTTCAAGAAATGTATGTGTATATTGATGTCTAAATTAAAATGTGAGGTAGTTAATTAATCAAAATCTGAGAATTTGCATTTCCTAAACACAAAAGCATGCTCTAAAAGCTTAGGAAGTAAATTTAAAAAAAAAAAAATGGGGGAAGAGAATATTTTCGCAATTAGCTTTGAGATATATAAAAAATAAAATTTCCTAAAATTATTATATTTTAGTGATTAATGTTGAAAAATTAAAATTAAAATATCAAAAGCCCTTATCATAAAAGAGTAGACGAGACAAAGAAAAAATATCTATTGTACGCCAACGAATCTTCATTATGAAATTAAAAAGGATTTAAATTTGGTTTTGATAAGGGAACGATGCAATAGTCTACCTTATAAAGAAGTTACATGAAAATAAAGGGAACATACGTTTTTGCCAATTTGTTGGAAGATCGGCGAGGAGTGTGAATTTTCAAAAATATGACTCATATAGAGTTTTTTTTGGTTATAGGGGTGGCTCTTGTTGAGCTTGTGTATTTTTGTACTGTTAAATTGTTCTAACTTATTATTGTTCATTTTTCTTATGTGATGCGTTAAATTATTTATATGTGAAAAAAATTGAAATACAGACTGATAAATTAAATAAAAGATAAATCTCAATAGGCTTTATAAATTAATTCAAACTTGAGTACAATGTTTAAGGTTATGTCATTATAGGGACACATTGAGTACAATCTCATGTCTTGGAAATGATTTCAATTGACAACATTTTTGTTATTTCATTGCTTCACTTGTAAGTTGTAAACCTTTATTTTATTTATATAGAAATTCCATTTACTCAATAGTCATCTCCTAAACAAATCCGAATCCTCTAATAGGCCAACTTTTAAAAATTGTTAGGTTGGATCCTAATTCATTTATCAACTTATTTTATCGTTGGATTAATCTATATCCATATATTCACTTATAATATAATAAAAGCTCGATGAATGTATTTGAATTTTTCTTCAAAATCATTGCAAAGATAGACATGTTTAAGCTGTCCGACAAACATTTAAGTTAACTCAAGACTTATTTCATTAGCTTATGTTCTTCTTGTATAAACATAAGTTTGGTTTGTTAGGACGAACTTTTTAAAAAGCTCGAGATTATCTTATAAACTGATTTTGATAACTTTTTAAATAAGTCTTTAGAAATGTTCAACAAGCTCAATTAATTTTACCAAACATTTTTATTATATAAGCCAACTTTCAGTCATAAGTCATAAAGTATCAGATAGAAGCTCGAAATTCACTTAAAAGCTATAAGCCAATTTATTAAATATGTTTACCAAAGATAACCTTAGTCTTAAGAGACCAAAATGTCAATAACTATATAAAGTTGAAGTTACAATAAAGTAGAAATGAGGAAGACATGGGTCATGCCATTGCCAGTTGTAAACCAAAAAGTTCCCTCCTAATTAACTCAGCTGCCCAAACACGGCCTTAGTCCTCAAGAGCTTCCCCCCTTCCTTTCTCCTGTCTCCCGCCGCTAATTGCGCCTCCTTGCTCACGCGCCTCCTCCGCCGCCGCCGCCGCGGATCACTGGATTTCTGCAGCCGCTGCCGATTCTAAGAGATTCAGGCCGAAATAAGAGGAACCCAAGCCCCATTTCCAGGTTTTTTCTCAACCCGTTACGAAGAAACCCTGTGGTTTGGATCAGTGAATTTGAATCGAAATGCCTGGGATTTGTTGCATTTCATCTGCCCGAGTAATCCTTGCTAAAAAAGATGCAATTTTTCCTCCTTCATTTTGTTCTGTGCTGTTGTTTAATCTGTTGCAGTCATAAGAATTTAGTTATCTCGAAAGTTTTGTTTTTGTCAATTGGGGTTTTGTTTATTTTTCAATTTTTGGTATGTATGTTTTAAGAATTCTGTCTGCATTTGAGATTCTAATGATGCGTGGAAGTTTTTGTTTATTTATGTTTTGGAGTCCCCTCACATACGTGCAGATGATGATATACTGAATCACAGCTTCTAAGTAGATTTGTGGGCTGCCTGAGTTTGGTCGGAAATCTAAGCTGGTTAGGGGGAAGAGTGTTGAGTGTTTTTTCAGTAACAAGAGTTTATCTTTAACAGACAACATATGTAGAGTTAAAATTTTTGTTCCTCATATTAGCTAATTGTGTCATATGATCGATCACATTACAAATCTAGTTACAAAGTCTTATCTGATAATCCAGTTCCAATGTCTATGTCAAGGTGCTCAAAATGATTGGTAGAGTAATTTCAGGAGCATGACCAACTTTTAGTAATTTCAAATCTAAAACATCTGTCTTTTTATAACAGGTTTTCCTGTTGTTATTGAAGTAGTGAAAGGTTCAATTCAGTTTCTTTCTTCTTTTTTCTTTTTCTTTTTAAATGTATTGTTGTTTAGTATATATTGTATTTGGCATTGTAAAACCAAACATTGAGCTTATAGATAATCTGCCATTTTTTTTTAACATTTTTTAATAATTGAATACTGATGAAAGATTATATCGTTTGGTGTAGAAATTCTCTGGTAAAGGGGCTCTGTTTGGCACTTAATCTTGGAAGTACTCCACATTTAACCTTCATATAGAAATGCCGGAATCTCTTCCGCCTAAAGGCCAAAAAATGACCCAATAGAGTCATGGTTTTGGACCTGAGGAGTTGGAGGGATGCAAATTTTTAGTGTGTAAGTGCCATTATAAATGTCAGTCTTGCTTCAGCGCCTCAAATGGATAATCAAAGGTTTCAATAAATCAGCTGTAATGAATGCTAAGAGGTTAGATGGGCCTGATGTGAAGCCCTTGCCTGAGATAACTTTACATCAGTCAAAGAAGCAGTCATCTGGAAAGTCTAATGGCCTTAAGTCTAATCATGAAATGTTTAACGGGCCAGTTTTGGATGCTGTACATGAGATTTCCATTTACATTCATCGATTTCACAATCTCGATTTGTTTCAGCAAGGGTGAGTGTAATATTCGTTAAACTTCATATTTCTTCTCTCTCAATTCACTTGCTGCTTTTGATAAGCCTTATGCTGCTGTTTTGCTTCCTGTCCAGTTGGTATCAACTCAAGATTACGATAAAGTGGGAGGATGGTGATACTAGTTCTTTTGGAACACCATCAAGAGTTGTACAATATGAAGGTAATTGACACATGGTCAGTTGGTTGATCTTCTTCTCTCTTGTTAATTGATCCATTGCCCTGTGATACATGGTGTAGCCAAATTTTCTGGTTCGACTGAAGTATGGAATTAGGGGAACATGTATTGTGGATTAACTATTGCATTTTTTATAAATAAAATTGTAATGGAAAAAAATCGGTAGACTTCTTTGGCATCTAATATGTGCCACCTATTTTGTTTATTTACTTTCGTTAACCACATTTATGGGTCCCTAAGAGAGACAAACTTTTTCTATGTGGGTTGCTTCATCTTTCACTCAAAAGTATATTGACTTGTCATCCCTGTTGGGTTGACTCTTTTGAGTATTCTGAAGTTAACCATTCACATGACATTGGCCAACAAAAATAATATGCTTACATGGTTCCTTTGTTTGAGCAGCTCCTGATTTGGGTTCTGATGATATATATGGCGTCTGGAGAATTGACGACAGTGACCATAGCTTTTCAACACAACCTTTTCGAATCAGATATGCAAGACAGGATGTTCTGTTGGCAATGATGGTCTCTTTTAATCTTTCTCCCAATAAAATTGAGGTAAAATGATAATTGGAGTTATGGACATGTAACATATAGATAATGGTGCATGCACAATATCTGTATATAGTGGTAAAAAAGATAGAAAAACAAGTGGATTATTGGAATTCAAATATAACATTTTTATTTTTTTTCCTTAAAAAGTGACAGTAGTTCATACATTTTTTTAGAGAGGGATCAAATTTTGGCTTTGAGGTATCTTGTGACAGTAGAACTAAATTAGATGTTTTATTTGACTTTACATTGTTTGAATTCCAGAGTCCACCCACCTCTTCTGTTACTCTGAGGTTCGAGCTCTTGTACAGTCCTGTGTTGGAGAACAGGTTAGCTGACATTTGTTTATAATATTTTCTTCCCAAATGTTAATTAGTACACCCATTTTATCTATGTTTATTTGCTTTACTGGGTGAATAGGATCAATAAAAATGTGAAAGCTTGGATTTACTGAAGTTATTTTACTGTTCCAGGTTAAATCTTCAGACCTGTTTGGATACAAGCCCTGCTGCAGTCCATGAATTTCGAATTCCCCCCAAAGCTCTTATGGGGCTGCATGCATATTGTCCTGTTCACTTTGATGCTTTTCATTCCGTATTAGTTGATACCACTGTACATGTGAGCCTGTTGAAAAGTGAAGTCTACAATTCCTCGCTGAAGGTACCCAGGTTTGTTTCCTCTATGTTATAATGTCAGTGCACATGATTGTTTCATTTTCTTCTTTATTTTTGGTTTTGACTGGATATGAATTTGGAGTATCGGGCTTTAGCCGACCAGACTTGAACCAAAATCCCTTGGGCAATTTTTTTTA